TCCATATCCTTGTGTCCTAAGCCAACTAAGCAGCCACTAGCAGATATTCTTGATATATCAAGAGATTCTTGAAACCAGGGAGAAATGATGTTGTCCTCCGGGCATGAAGAAGGAGACATGCAGGGTGCCCTGGGTCAGTTGGCATCTGCTGTGCTGGCGTAGAGGGGCACCTAGTTAATTCCAGTGTCTGAGCTCCCATTAGGTTTGGATACTGTTACCATTTTTTTTGAGTCTGACTTTTGGCAGTCAGTGACCTGGTACAAGTCACTGCCTTGAGGCTAAAGCAGATTGATACTGATTTTGCTTTTCATTCAAGGAAAATGTTAGGTATTCATTTTCAAGATTAATAAAGAGTTGATGTTTAAGTAAAATGAATTTTATTACATTTCTAGCAGTGTTTCAGTGCGTATCTCCATTCTCCTGCTTTCTTCTGTCCATTGAACAAAGTCTTCAACTGCTGGCTAGAATAGTCTTGTGATGTCTGCAGGTTCTCAGGTTCTGTTTTAATGTATGCACATCTGAGCATTGACTGAATATTGCTTGCTGAGGTGGACTTAAATATTCACAGCATTTAGTCACATTTGGTTGCCCCTTGTTTACTGCTCCTCTTGCAAACACAGGCTAAATGAAAAGCCTCCTGTGTTGGAGGAGAGGAGATACTTTTCATGGAATTCATTGGACTTCTGGTTTGTCAGGTCCCAAGCACTTGCCTTTGACTTGGCAGTTTTTTAGGAGGAGGGCTTTGGTTTATGCCAGTCTTACATAGGAATCTGTAGGATGAGGAGACTGAACTACACTTTTGCACTGTAAGGTGACTGTTGCAGTTTAGAGGAAGAACAGTGTGGGCATTTTCATGACACCTGACCCCTTACAGGGGCTGTAAAAATAGATATGTGACATTGTGTCCTCTTTCCACCCTGCATCTTATTCTAATACACATAACCCTATGCTACAGTGAGACCAAGCTTAGTCCTGTGTGAGCTTCTCAGTGAATGACTGTTCAAAACAGGTTGTTGGCTGAAGTGTCTTTACTTAAAGGACATCAGTGTTCATGGAGTTAAACTGACTTTCTAGAATGATATTTTTATCCTTATGTGGCATCGTTGCTCATCTTGAGCTTTTGCTGTGGAAGCTGGTAGCACATCAGCTGCTGACCATTTGTGGGTAAGCAAGAACACACCTGGCCTTGCTAATGACTACTTAGTGCTACTTAGAGGCTGATGAGAGGTGAGGGCTGTGTTTACAAAGTAAAAATTGCACTAGTCTGAAACACAGCATGCAGTCGCAATGAAATATGAGTCAGAAAGCAATTCTCAGCATGTTTTAGGATCGCAGGACCGAAAGTGATATTCATAATAGTTTGCTTACTCACCATTGATACTTGAAGCACTGAGACTTGTTAGCTACCCCATAACTGACCTTCAAGATCTCTAGGTTCTTTCTCTTTTCTTTCTGCTTCCATGAGGGCATCTGCCTGACTGTCTAGATGCCCAGCTGCTACCCAGATGTCTTTTGGCAGAAGAGATTAGAAATTGGCAGTGTTGAACATAAATCTCCTCAAAGGATCCTTAGACATTAGCTGGATTAGGATCAGAATCTTGTCTTCTCCATTGGGCAACAACCATGTTGCTAACATGCCATCACTGAAATACGAGGCTCGGCCTCTGCTGGAATGATTTCTGATGATCATTAAGAACTATCACTTAAAATGTCAACCTGGTTTGAGGGTGTAAGCCAGCATCCAATTAAAGCAATCTTTTTGGACAACAGCGTGAAATACATGAGGCAAAAATGAAACTGTATAAGGTTGCTGGGTTTTTCCCTCCCCCTAGTTTGCACATTTTACTGCAAAGAGGGAAATTAAAGATTCCTGTCTCTGGTTCCAAGTTTACATCTGACTTGTGTTGTTTCTCTTTTTTATTTGTCTTATAGACGAGGTGCAAGCCTTACGAGAAAATTGGAAACACCTATGGTTTGTTCCTGCAAACAGTGTGTCTGTTTGCAGTGTGTCTTATTTTAGCAGTGAAATCTTTCTGCAGTGGAAGAATTAAATACTTTTAAAATTTTGCCTGAGAAGCTAACTCAAAATGTTGTATTTTCTTTTGGTCTGAGGATTTTTTTTTTCCTTTTCAGGAAAATTGTTTGACAAAAGATTGATATATGGAAATAACATTTTGCAAAGCCAGATGCTTTTCAATTGAAAATTCCTGCAGAAACCTTTGGACGAATTTATAGGAACCTTTATCTGGTCCTAGCTATAAGAGCTAATTAATCTTGGAATAAATATAGCATGAATACTCTAGTGTAGAGATGAGGCACAATTATTAATTATTAGTCAGTGCTGTAAGGCTGGAAGATAAGTACTCAGGGGAAAATATTTCCTAAAACTCAAATTGAAATATGCAAACAAATTTAGGGGTGGCTATTTTCAGAAGTATTAGCAGTGACTAGGTGTTTATCTTCCCCTGACACTCAGAGAGCATTAAGCACCTAATTGCTGTGTCTTACAAAATGTTCACAAATTATAAAGTAACTGCTCAGTTTTCTGGAAGATTCAGCTGAATTGCTTACATATTTGCAATCTTCCACCAACAGAAGGTCACCACAGAAATCTGAGCTTCTGAAACCTGCTTGTCAGTTGCTTGACCTCCAAGTGAAAGTCTAGGCAGCTTAATTGCTCAGTGTCTTTTCAATCCATTTTTAACCCATGAAAGCCAGGTCTTAGTGAAACATTAAAAACAGTTTGCTTTTGAACATGTTGGCTAAATCTGTGTTTTGGGAGTTTAGTGTACTGTAGGAGGAATTTCATTCATGTTTTCCCTTTTTCATTATTCATCAATAACTCATGAATTATGAGGGTTTCGTGTTTGCAAATTGTTTTTTTTTATTAATACCTGACTTTTTGTTAGAATAGGTAACTGATGTTTTCAAGCAGCTGCAAATGCTGACCTAGTGTGTGCTAATATTTCATCCTTTCAAAGAGAAACATCAAATAAATTGTGTTGTGCATCTGCTGGATTAAAATTGTGAGATGCTTTTTACCTCTCAGTTCCCTGGAAACAATACAGCAGAGCTCACTGTCTAGGTTCCTCTTTGCTGTCTGAATCTTCAACTAAGACTGCCTAGATCCTGGTGGAGGTGGGATGGGTGTATGAAGAGATTAAAGAAAGTAAACTTGCATATCTCTGTGTCAGGTTTTATATCTGTGAATTCATCTGGATCATTTATCTAAAGAGTACTGCAGACTATATACAATTTCTTAACTTGACTTACCTATTTATGAACAACCCTCACGTTATTCAGAGCAGAATGTATAAATAATGTATCTGCGTGATCTAAAAAAAATGAAATGAGCTAGATATTTCTAGTAAGTTGGTGAAGCACTTACTGCTTCCTCAATTTTCTTTCTTTATTCTTTCATCAAAAAAAAGAGAGATACTGGGGAGAGGGAAGAGGTGAAGAAATTGTATGGGGTTGTTTGTTGTTGTTGTTGAGTTTGTTGTTTGAAGTTTGGTGGTGTTGCTTTTTTGTTCTGTTTGTCTATTGAGCAGAAGGTTTCCATATCAGTCTCTCAGTGATAAGTAAGCTTCAAACAGAAATACATCGTAGTGCTTACCACCAGTATTGCTGTAAACTGTATGCAGGAGTTTCTGAGCAGCCATAGCGTATAAGCTGGAGACATATTTGAAACTGGTCTTTCCAGGTTATTTTTTTTCTCAAAAATTCTGTTCCAGATAACTAATTTACAATTATCCCTGATTTTGACTGAAGTCTTGAGATAGTGTGATTTTTAAAATAATAATTTGTCGCCTATTAACAATTCTTACAAACTATCTTCCCCGGCCTTTTGCCATAGTAGAATTGCTATAAATTATGAGGAAAAACAGTAGCTGATGTAGGGTATCCTAAATATTACATATGGTTTAAAAAATGCTAGATTTTCTTTTTTGCAGTAGACTATAGGGTTTTGGAGCTAGAATGAAAAGGGTTAAAAATGAAAATCCTTAGTGCAAGGCCTCCCAGTGTTGATTATGCGTATTAAAACAGAATACTATGCTTTCTGACCAGCTGCTTCTGCAGCACAAATCTCATTTTACTGTGGAATTTTTTTGCTTACAGGAAAAATTCTAGTACAAATGCTGTTGGCTGCGGTTAGAAGTGGCACTTGAATATCAGCATGTTCTTTTGTCAATCAAAACATCCTCCTGAACAGTTCAGCTAGTGTTAGCAGGGGATGTGCTAAGGCTCTTAACGAAAATGTGAGCCTAGCTTTTCATCACAGAAGCATCTGAGTTTATTTTCTAGGGGAATAAAAAAATTAAAGTTCTTCTGTCATTGCAGTCTTTCCCTGGAAAGTTAAACACCAACTGGTAGGCATCTATGCATCTCTTTTGTGCATTGATTGCCTGTAGCATAAACATTTCATGGAAAAGTACACTCTTCTTCCCTTCAGATTTTTAGTTCTTGCTAGAAGAGAACAGTAGCTTGTGTTCTGAGGGTGTTGACTGAAAATACAGTGTTTACACATGCTTTAGTTGTAAGACCTGTAAAAGACAGCATTATTAGATATTAAAAATATGTAATTAAATTAGATATTAATAATACCTGTATCTATATTAGTTACAGATGATATTAACATTTCTGAATAGTCTGTCCTGCTGGCCATTATGGTCATTTTTCTGGAAAAAAGTGGCTGAAAGTGTAAGTCTGAAATGTCTGCTGCAAACTAATCACTAGAGCCTGTCTTTTAGAATTTATCTTTAAAATAAAATATTTGTCTTATTTTTGCCTTGAATGCATCTTCTAAGCAGTGGTAACACCAAATATGCTTGTACAGTGCAATTCCAGTATTACGACAGTATGGAGGTGCTTTTTCAGTGTATATATGTCTCAGGGAAACTAAAATCCTACTTCCTATTTTTGGTACCACGTAACTGTACAAGGATGTTGTTATCTGATGTGATCTGTATTAACCTCTGCTCTCTGCTTTGCCTTTCCAGCACTGGCTTGAGCCCAACAAGTCCATCTTCAAGCAAATGAAATGTAAGTGTTGAGAGTTCATGCTTTAGAAATGCCCAGAGGTTTTCCTGTGCTTCCACACCGTAACTTAGAATATGCTTCATTTGTTTCTTGGTGCAAATAGGCCTTTTGTGTCCCATCTAGGCTTGCAAAAACTCAGGGTATCCTCATTACACTGTCTCACAGTGCTCTGCACATTAAGAGCTTTCTGTTACTGCTCAGGGCTGGAGGCAGAGGCCAGCTGATACATGCAGAGTAGCAGATCTGGGTGGAAGACCTGTACATTCTTGGCTCTCGTTTTCAGTCAGATGCCACTGGGACATGGCAATAAAGTGTGGAGTGTGGCAATCTGCTTCTGAGTCTTTCTGGTTTGCTCTCTTTCTGCTGCTCCCTGCTTCCTGATAATGCAGAGCATTGGTTTGAGATTACTGTTGCAGTCCAGCAAACTCAAGTGCTGTGTATTACTGCTTTCACCCAGCAAACTGTGAGGGCTTATGCTTCTTGTTGCACTTTGTATAGCAACATATTCGGGAACTCCACCACCAGATGCACTGAGAGTGTTTTGATTTATTCAGAACAACTCTACCTGCATAGAAATGTTGCCTAGATGTGATTGATGGTACTCCATAAATACCATGGATGTAGTGATGTGATGGTCTCATCAGAGGACTTGTGTGGCTTTTGGGGTAAATCCTAATCAAAAGTCTGAAGACTGCAAAATGAACATGTGTGAAATAGAAAAACGAAATGCAGCCAGTATGAGGTTAGTTGTCACAATGAAAATTTTTCAACAGCAACAGCAAGAGAGAATGAGATGGTAACAAAGGAGTTTTGTTATCAGCCTTCGATTCAGGACACGGGTAGAATTAACTACTGTGATTGGCTTTTTATAAGCAATTTCAGGTTAATACTAGTGTAACTTAACTATATTTTTTGTCACCGATAAAGGACTTCAGTTGCTACAATAGCTCTTTAAGGAAACAAAACAGGGAGATACTTTTATATATTATACACATGTGTAGAATTCATGCAGATTATGCATAAATACATCTTTTTCTCCAACAGGTTTCAAGGACGTTTTTGTAAACATTCCACATCAGGAACCTCTTGCTTTACTTTTCTAAAAATATGCATATTAATGTAGAACACTAAATTTCTAAAGGCATACAAGGTTAATTCTTATTTTATCTAAAAATACTCAGTTTTCTAGGAAAAGGTTTAGGCTCAGAAGAAGAAATTAACCATATTCATTTGAAAAACATCACAATCTGAGGTGACACAAGTGAGGACTGAAATTAGAATCAGGTGGAAAGTGTAAAAACTGAAACCTTGAAGTGAATGGTTAATAGAACATACATTACGTATATATGAATTCTAGAAGAAATGGTGGCAGAAAGCTATTCACAGTGATTGTATTAGAGGTTTCCTTTTCTTTCTTTGCCATTGAAGAATTCTGGAAACATTGAAATGATGTGGTTTGTAAGAATGGACTATCATCTTCTCTGCTACAAGAGTAGGTTATACTAATACTAACGATTCAAAATGTTCTAAATTCAATTGAATGCCCAGATTTTCATAGGATTAAGACAAATTTGAAAATTTGCTGCATGCTTGATCTCAGCTACTCTTTGTGAGCAGCTTCATTTTACCCCAGCACAGTAACAAGTTTTTCAGTTTATTCATGCAGCTCTGTATCGACAAATACACAGAGCAGAAAAGGAATGACTGGGAGTAGTGTTGTAATACAAATTTCAGTAGGTATGAGATTTCATGGGTCTCAGTAGTATATGAATCATTCAGGTAGAATCCCTCTATATAATCAGGTTGTACAGAAATCACAATTCAGCAGTTATGCATTTCTGTTGGGACAGAATGTTGCATGTTTGAAGTCTGCATAGGTTCTTATGTGATACGCTACCATTTTGATTTCCTTAGCCTTGGCAAAGATTATTTTAAGTTCATACTAATCCTGGTACATACAGAAGAAATCTTCCAAAATATTTTATATTTTGTCTTATCACATATGAAACATTCATCAACCGAAGGTGAATGAAAACATGGCATTTTTTTTGTCTCAACATCTACCTTTGCATATTCCATCTTCACTCAAATGTTTGTGTCAAAATATGATGTGTAAAATCTAGGTCTAATTTTTACTACTAATTCTGCCAGAGAACAGAAATTTTAGGCTCTGAGAATTGTCCTGAACCACTGCTGGTCTTGTTTGTACTAGTTGAAGCTGCTTGCTGGCCAGTAGTTGATAGCTGTGAGCACCATTCTTCCAACAGTGTGTTGAAAAACTGGAAGGCTGCATGAGGTAGCTGTATCTTTGTGGTTCTAGATAAAGATTTTTAAAACCTGTTTTTGTGTTGTTTTGCATGTTTTTGTGTATGCTGTAATCTCTCAGATGCTGACAGTAAAGCTCTTCGCCATTTGGCCATCTCACATTTTTTACTTATTTTCTGTTTAGGAATGTCTTGGTGTAAATCCTACTGCTCACCTAAACACTTAAACATTATAAGTTATAATGTTTTGGTGTAAATCCTACTGTCACATAAATCACTTAAACATTAGTGCTGATTAAGCACTAATTTTTAAGTAAAGAATAGAGTTTTCCCATGCACTTTCCCTCTCTCTTTCTTCAATAATTTTGCAGGTTATTCTGCATAATAAGTATACAGCTTTCCTGTGTCAGGCCACTGGAATTTGCTAATTTCCTGAATCTCCAATGCTGTTATAAAGTGTGAAAGAAAATGGAATGAACCAGTGGAAGCAAGAACCCAGATGCAGAGATGGGTTGTGCAAAACTTTATAAAGTTTCTTAAATATCAAAGTTTTTGGGTCTGAGTACGAATGTAAAGAGTTCATTGAAATATGAGGTTCACAAATCCATGCACAGTGGAAACATGAAGATTTGTGTGATTCTTCAGGCATTAATCCAAATGATGTATATTATTTATGTATGATTCTTATGAAAAATTATTAGCATGTTTTAAAACATTTTTATAACTAGTTGATGGAAACATTTTCTCTCTCTTTCTTTCTTTAATTCTTTCTTTTTCTTTCTTTCTTTCTTTCTTTCTTTCTTTCTTTCTTTCTTTCTTTTTCTTTTTCTTTCTTTCCTTTTTCTTTCTCTCTTTCTTTCTCTCTTTCTTTCTTTTTCTTTCTCTCTTCCTCTCTTCATCTCTTCCTTTCTCTCTTCCTCTCTTCCTCTCTTTCTCTCTTTCTTTCTCTTTCCTTCTCTCTTTCCTTCTTTCTTTCCTTCCTTCTTTCCTTCCTTCTTTCCTTTCTTCTGCCTGTCCATCGTTTATATATTGCATAAAATAAAAATACTGAGTAGAGTTCTACCTGTCTTAAAGATGCTGACCAAGTGAGATGGTCAAACAGCTGATTAATTTGGTAAGGGAAGAGATATATAGTAACAACAATATATATCATACGGTGCCCCAGAGATCCTTCTGCAGCATCAGTGAACATCAAGACTGTTTCAATTGAATAATTTTTTTGTTTGGTTTTTTTGGTTTTTTGGGTGGTTTTTTTTCCTGATGTTCACCAACTTTTGGTAGGTATACTGTAGGTCAGAGAATATGTAACATCAAGGAGAGACGCAGGAAGTTTTTTGCAATGTCGCATTCTCAGGGCTGTGAAGATAATTTAAACATCTGCTTTTGGCTTTCAGTATCCATCTGAACCCATGTTTAACCAAAAAAACAACACTTCCAGTACAGCTCATTACAGAAACTAGTATTTGTGCTGAATGAAAAGCAAGTTGTTAAAAACAAACAGGAAACCTTCGCAAAAGCGACAGCTGAGAACCTTCTGTCCTTCTCCCTCTTTGTTCACAATTCTGAAACTTCAGCCAGGCTTTTCACCAGCTTTCTTTTCCTGTTGTTTTTTAATAAGCAGTTTTTCTCTTACACAAATGTTGTCTTTCAGATTGTCTTTTTGTGAAGAAAATGTGCAAATTTTCTTAGGTTTATCATCTGTAACCTTTTGATCTACATAGAAGAAGAGCAATTCAGTGGGCTTTGCTTAAAAATGAATGCTTGTGAGACACAGTCTCTTACACATTGTGCCAAGGGGTGCACATCCCATCTCCCCATTTGTTTTGATCAAGGTGGAAGAGTTTTATTTTTTAGCTAGAGATCCTTACTCTTTCATGTACATTGGATAGTTAGTTAAATGCAACTGAAATAAACCTTGAAGACATATATCAGTTGCCTAGAAACCTTCCATGCTGTATGTGTAGTTCCTTCATGAGAGTCTGGATCAGGACTGGTTCGAACATTTGATATCATTTAAATGGTTTTATTTGTTCTTTTGCCTTCATCTCTTATGTTCTGCTAGCACATAAACTGGCAAATTAATAGACTTATTCAATAGAGTTTGCGGTCAGTACTATTCTCCATGCTAATGTCCTTTGCAATGACTGCAGTTGTGAATCTTTCTTAGTGAAAAAGCAAAGCCTGGGATGTTGGAAATTCTGACAAAGCCTTGGGCATTTCATTATACCAGCTGCTCCTTGTCTGCTAGGTAAGGGACCAGTCTGAAAGAAAAGGCTTATAGCTGCTCTAAAACTAATTGTATTCAGGCTAGTTTTGAAGAAATGTTCCTCTGTAAGTTGAGTTCTGTTTTGGGAAGATTTGTTGTTAATGTTTCCACTTTAATGTGTGAGTAAGTAGTAGAAAGTAATTTTGCTTTCAAGGAATTGAGGAATTGTCTGGCTTGGCAATCTCATTTCTTGAGCTATACAATTCACTGGCTGTCTTGCTTTCTACTACAAGAATATAGTGAAAGAGAGAATATGTGGTTCTCATGTATGTTTCTCTAGTGTTGTAAAACTTGTAAGACAAAAACCTTGCTAAATGTCTACATGTCATCAAATGTGCATTTGGAGGAACACTAGGCTTATGATCCATTTTAAAATGAGGATGGAGAGGAAAATGGATAGCTGTGGGGGTCCCTTCTTCTCATTTCAAGTGCTCATTCTTTTTGGCTGGTTTTCTAACTGGGAAAAAAGAACAGAAAAAGACAGTCCTGTTTCACTGTGTAATTATAGAGTACCTTCTTGTTTCATTTCCAGAGATGAATTGGATGGAGGGGATCGTATTATTTTTAAAATTTCAAATTGCCAGACTTCAGCAGTTGCTGAGAGAAGACCTCTGTTGAGCAGTCTGCAGCAGCCTTGTTTTGTACTGTTTCTGCACTGATGAGGAGGAATATTAGTTACAGAAGCTTAAGCCTAGGAAATGTTTGCAAAGTAGGCTACAAACTGCCTTGCCAAACCTCCTGCGTATTCTGTGCATTGGTGTACACTTCTGTCTACAAGGAAAACATTTCCTACTAACTGAATCTGAGCTATTTTATTTGGCCCAGTGTATACTGTCCTTTCCTTGCTATGATACTCTGTGCATATAGAGCAGCTGTTGTTTTTCTGTGGTTACCACAGACAGCCAGAGTATGGCTCTTCAACTGTATTTTTTTTTTTTTCCTTTTCTTTCTTTTTACCACAGCCAAAATTTTAATTGTTTCATTGACATCCAGAAGTTTAGGTAAAATTCAATACATTTTTAGGGTCTTGCAGTACGCTTGTACTAGCTTGTACTAGGGTCCTGCAGAGCCATGTGCTAACTGTTCTTATTTCTGCATCCCTATTTAAAGCACAAACTACTTCTAATCTGCCAGAACAGGCAAAATATTTTTTTTCTTTTTCTGAGGAAGAGCTCTTGCTCATTTAATACAGGTTGGTTCTTCTGTCATGTTTTGTGAGTGGAACCGTATTATGAAAGTACAAGTTTTTCTTCCTTGCTTAGTTTTAAGAAGGTTATTATGAAGAGACAGAACCATTCAAGGTGACTTACATTATCTTTTGCTTTGTCCAGGCAACATGACTCTTTAATCTCTGGATGGCTGTTTTCCTTTCTTGGGTATTGAATTCAGTTTATCTTCAAGTTTGCCACTAAAGGGCAGGGAGGACATAACAACGTTCTCTGTTTTGCAGTCTACTTCCAGTTACTGTAAGACACTGCTGCAGTCACATCTAAGAAGCTGAAGCCCACAGAAAGCAGTCTGTTTCCCTTGCCTTCAGAGGACTTAGTAGCTTGAATGTTCAAACCATCTCTAGAGAACAATTAAGGCTTGTTTTTATTCCTCCAGTTCCTCTTCTTTGTTTCTGTTTGTTGTTTCCTTACTTTTTTTTTCCCCTGTGTTTTTCATCTCTTCATCCCCATCTCTTCTGATACCCCTCCTTGTGTACTCAATGAACAATTATTTAAAAAAATTTAAAAAATTGGGAAATCAGCAGGTTTTGTCGAGGCTGACAGTAGTTAAAAAAAGTGCAACATGAGGTCTTGAAAGGGGAAAATATTCCTACGTTGTCAAAAGCAGTCAAACCCTTCAGAAAATACCTACCATAATGAAAGATGTAATGTATTTTTATTTTCTGTTGCTTTTGTACATGACATGGAACTATGTGATCTCCAGACCTAAGTTTCTGGAAAACTGTAACATACAAGTAAATACTGCAGTCAAAGTAGCTTGAACAGATACCATGTTTGTTGAACTGATTTCCACATGCAGTTTATACAAGCCAGTGAGCTAGTAAGCTTGAGGAGATTGTACAGTAAATGTTGTGGTATGTTAATGATTACTGTTATATATTATAATGACTAAACAGTAGTCCTCTGTTTCACCTGTTCTCTTCCTTCATTTTCTCTGTAATTTTCTTTGCCCTTTTCCTCAAGCTTCTGTCATTTTTCTCATGTGAAAGCACCATTTCTTCCAGATTTAGGAAGTTAGACTGATTGAGTGCATTCAGAATACATTAAGACTAAGGGACTTCTGAATCTAACTAGAATATTATAGTTCTATATTTTACTATGAATTAAAATTGAATGTATGCTTTCCTTTAAAAAAAAACAAAAACCAAAAAAACCCGAAAAACCAATACCAGAACCAAAAACCACCCACCTAAAACACCATCTCCCTCAACTTGTTAAAGGAAGGGTCTATAAATATTGAGTACTGGTGTAAATATGCAGAAAGTTAATTTCATGGTTAAATATTACAATAAAAGGATTCTGCACTCAAGTCTGTAAGACACTCCCAAATGAGCACAGTGATCACATGTTCCCATTTTGTTTGAAGCCTCAGCTTTTCCTCTATTTCTGTTTATCTAAAAATGGCTGTGCTGGTAAATGTTTTGGTAAAGGACCCTTGCCCATCATACTTATCCCCCCTCACTATTTGCCTTTTGAAGATGTGGTTATTTTCCTTCTCACTTCGAACTGAGAACTGGAATTTAAAACATGAACACTACCTGGCTACAGATAGTTCTGAGGGCTCTGCCTACCTGCGTATTGTGTGTGATGTTATGTTTTTAAGCCTTCTGCATGGTTTTCACACATCTTTCAGCCTAACATGGTTATCACAAGATGCCTCTTTGATGGGATTAATAGTCTTCAATGTGCTTTCTGCCCATCCTATGATCACTGAAAGATCAACTGGCCTAAGATAATATGTTAAATTCTATGAAAGATACAACACTGGGATATAAAGCTGTGTTCATTCATGTAAAACTGAGAGACACTGATTTCAGAATTGAAATAATGCCTGTTACTAGGTCTTTTTGTTTGTTTGTTTGTTTTGTTGGTTGGATTTTTTTTTTTTTGAGAAGAGAAAGTATTATACTTAAGCCTGGTATTCTTATCATAGCTCAAGAGTAAGTAACATAGACTTACTAAATAGTGTAAACAAGAACAGTTCTATTGTCTCTAGCTTCAATTAACCAAATTTAATGAATGGTTTCTTCCATTTTGTAGTCTAGGTATTATCATTGTCAGGAATAACAAATATGCATAACACCTTTGTATCTCATTGTTACAAGATGCAATTGCTTCCTGTTTATCAACAGCCCAAATGTGTTTTGTACTTCTTATATCAAACAAAAAGTCCTGTGAGGTGCAAACCCATTTATAAATTGATTTGCCTAGGTTAGCTATATTTTGCACATGATTTGGCGGGTTTTGTCATATGTTCTCTTCATATATACATGTATATAGTATTTAGGGGTTGGTTTCAATCCCTGCCTGATGTTTCAGAGTTAACTGTCACACCAGCTACTTTTTAAGACTCTTTGAGTTCATTCCTTCAGAGCGGCTGAGGCAATGTTTGTTCGCTACTGTTCTCATGCTTTATCTTTATAATGTTTCAGCTCATCCACCATTTACCATGTGCTTTAGAGTGAAATTCTACCCACATGAACCCCTGAAGATTAAAGAAGAGCTCACCAGGTATTTGTTTGTTTGTTTGTGTGTGTGTTTAATGTATGTCTTCTAACAAGTTCAAAATAAGACTTTTGTGTAGGGTAGGGTTCTCACTTTTTATGCTGAAGTACTGGAGCAGACAGCCATTTGCACTACTGATAGCTTTTTTATTTATTGTTATGCCTGTAGATTTTTAAAAACAGTTTAATGGCACTTTTCTATAACATACAGAGAAGTAGTCATGTTGTTGAAGAACTTGCAGAAAGAGAAGCAATGGTCAAATGACTGGACAAAGATTATTCTGGCTTTCATCCTGGCAAGGATTGTGGTCTTGAGTAAGTTTCTTCTGTGTCTTAGTTTTGGTTTTTTTGATTGAAATCATCTATGAAGTTTAATTCAGTAATGGCCCTAGCTCTTTCAACAGGAACATGCATAGTCTCACTGAATTTTCTCTTGTGTGTGTCTTTAGGACCACAATCAAGATAGTATTTTTAATGTACTGATAGACCTTTAACAAACTGGTGTAGAGGTGCAATACATTTATATTTTTAAAATAAAACTATACTGGAAGTTAAGAGTTCTTGTTGCTTACATTGGGATTTTCCAGCTTATGTTGTGAAAATACAGTCATACTGTGTATGTCAAAATGACATACATATGACACACTATGTATGTCAAAATAAAGTAATACTTAACAAATGGGAGTTTTGTCCTTCCTACTAGCCATTGTGACTATTTTGTCACTTTTGGCACTTTTCAAGAAATGCAGTCGGGGAAAAATGTAGGAAAGCAGCAGCTCTTTTGACCTCTGCACCAGCTATGCAGGACTATATATATATATATGCCTTGCCACATTGCTAGTCAGGAGGTCACACTGCGGATAGTTGCATGTTGCAGAAGTATGGAGCCCCTGAGCACTTGTTGCCTTGACTTCTTCATCGATGCTTTCCCCAATCCCTGCAAATTCTTATGCTCATGAGTCACTGCATGAATGGGAGGGATCCCATTATCACTGATCTCATTCTAAAAGTTTCAGGAACAGCTTGCATTCTGCTGAATGGGAAGTTTATAGTTTGTATAGAGCAGCTGGAACATACAGTTCACATTATAGCTATTTATCTTGGTTGAAATATTGAAACCGTGTATCTGAGTGAACAGGTTGTAAAACAGGAAATCAAGGGATTTTTGTAATTTCTTAGTCTTTGTTCTTGGATGAACATTTTACTTGTCATGAGCCAGAGTATAAACTTCATATAAACCTTCGTCATTGAAGAGTCTTAATTAATTGACTTTTTTATTTAAACTGCTTGGATACCCTCCCAGGAGAAGTTTTATCGAAATGCAAAGAACCTAGAATTAGCTCACTGAAGTGTATAGTGCTGTCAGTGTATTTTAGGCTTTGCTGGAACCTTTCAAATTAATTTTTAAAGTCCAGCTGCTGTATGAAAAAATATTTTATGGTCTTTGGTTAAAACCAGTATTATTAAGACTTAAAAAGGAGAACTAATTAATCTTCTTATATGTCCACCTTATGCACATGATACCTTTTCATATCTTACCAGCTTTATAGTTTCCCAGTGTTGCTATTTGGAAGCTTTGCTTTGTGTCTGCTCAGGTCTCTTACACAATAACAAAGTACAGGAAATGCTCCTGAAACAAGCAAGTGATGTGTAGTCATGTAATTCACCTCTGAGAATTTGCTTCATCATCTAAAGCAGAGGGTCAGATTCAAGGTGACACTCTAAATTGGCTTGAGTTAAACTTTGTTTTCTCATATTGCAGTGATAGGCGAAATTCAAGAAGAAAAATGCCTGTTAGTATGTGCCAGAGGGGAGCAATGAAAACTTGATAGCTAGTTGGCTTTTTGGTAGATGTAAATTTTTTTATTTACTTTTTTTTTTAGCTCTGCTGTCTTCATTGTGCAATCACATTTGTTTCAGTGTGTGCTTAAGATGATTTGAAAATAAATAACATTGTCACCCTTTGGCTTAAAGCCATCTGTACTTCATAGCTGTATGTACAGCCAGCTTAGACTGAGTACTGGTGCTTAGCATTTCTGCTACTCTCCATGTTTAAGCATGTAACAAAGCTGCTTTCTTGCTTCTTCAACTGGGTAGAAATCTGACGGGTGTCTGTAGACGCATTTAAATAATGAAATTAAGATACAGTAAGACCTCCTGTCCTGTACTCTTTGTTTCAGAATATTAATTAACCCTGTCTAAATCCCCCATGTAGATTATTGTCAATGCAGTCTTTGTAAAAGCTTTATAGGAATAAATATTTAATCAAGTACCTTAGAGGCATCAGAGACATCCAGATATTAAAAAGAGCTGTTTTTCCTACTCTTCCATAGCAATATCTGATGTAAAAAAAATATAATCTTTCCAGTACATGAAGCTGTGTGTGTATGGGTAAATTATTTGATTTCTGTGAAAGTAGTATCACATATATAGAAATGCTATTCAGGATTTAGACATCATTTGCAGTGAGAAAATTGAATATTTCTTACCTGACATTACTGCCACTTCATTTCTATCCTACGGTTGGTGGGCTGTGCTGGACTATAATCCTTGAGTTAGTCTGTGGTTTTACAGTTGGAACTATTTTCAGGAAATAAAGATGGAGAATGACATAGTTGAAGTTACCCCTTTGTTTATGATATTGTAGAAAAAAATTCTAAGAACCTGAAAATGTATGCACACCCTGTGTTCAGAGGCCAGGAGTGCCCTGGGCAAAGGACGGAGCCACATACTTGCCTGTCACTGCATTTTGTACCACTGCTAAGGATGCCTGGTACGACATTGTTAGCCGTGTCGTACCACTCCAGCTGCTTACTTTCATCTTCCCTCATTTTAATTAATGATCACTTCCATAACTGTGGTTTTGACATAAAATCAGTGCCTGCCTCTGGATGTTAAGGCATTTTGAGATATTATTGCTAAATAAGAAATTCCATGGACTCAGGACAAGATTTCCACCTCTTGCTATGGAAGGAAGTTCTCTGTGGTCCTTGGTCACTGTTTTCTCTAGAATCAGCTGGTGTTAGGATTGTAATTCACAGGTTAGCTTTAGTAGCCGTGGGGTTGTTGCCCTGAGTTCTCTAGTTTCTGTAATAACAGACAGCATGAAACCTGACTTGTCAAGAAAGTCCAAATCTCAAGTCACTTTGTGCTTAACTTTCTTAACTCATCTCTTTAACTTGTGTCAGCATGGATTCAGAAGATCTGTCCTTATTTTTGGGAATACTGCTTGCTCAGCGGGACAGTGAGGCCATATGTGTTTGAAACATGTTTGAGGAAGCTTTCAGATACACTATTTCTTTTCAACAGTTAAAGTAATCGGACAGTTTTTTCAATGCATGTTTAAATAATTATGATGAGTAAGTGGCAAGGATTTAACCCATTTTGCTGAAATGATTTGGCCTCTGAATTAATTTCAGGTGCATTGGAGGCTTAGCAGACTGCAACACTAACAGGGAATACAGACCTTTGAACAGTCTGTGTAATCTTTTAAACAGAGAGAGGTGCTCAGCCTAATAAGAAGTGTGATGTTCCTCTATGCTGTGTGCATTTCTGAGGGTTTGACTTCTGCTTCATGTTTAGTATGCGGAAGGTGTCAGGTTCTTCTGAGTGGTATATTTGTGCCTTTCTAGATCTGATTGTCTAGTACTTGTAGATGGTGTGGAGTCAGAATAAAGTACTTCAGTTTCAGAAAACACCATTTAAGTGGCTTCACTGAGCCTCCCTAAGGAGACTAATAGCTACTAGTTTTTAATTAGGCAATAGCAACATGAGACCAGGTCCTCACATCCCCTTTGTTTCCTGTAAAACTCGCAAACCTGTAAAACAGAATTTCAGTTTCTTTTCCTGTTAAATCAGCATCTGCTCTGCAGCCTGTTTTCTGGCTGATGGTGTGCAGGATGGGGTAGAGACCTTGAATACATACGTTTTCAATATTACTGCTAATTTTCTTTTCTCCTAATTTTCCTTCTATTTTTTTTTTCTTTCTTTCTTTGTGGTACATTCCAGTTGTTTTTTCCAGAGAGCATGGTAGGCTTGGTGGTGAAAGGGTATGTTTCTTCAGCTATGTGTACAGAAACATGTGCAGAAAAAAAGGCTATTCACTATGATGGTCAAGATTATTCTGCTGGCATGGCATGCAAAGATACAAAATTGCCATAAAGGAAGTTGTAACTACAGAGGTCATTCAACCCGCTGTATGCACAGCATCCCACTATGCTCTCTGAAAGCACAGGTGTTTTCACCCTGTGCCTCTCTTCCTATTCTTTTATCACAGGTCAGAGCCCTGGGAGGGTCCACAGCTGGGAAAGCCTGAGATGTTGTGTGTGAACAGAATGGAAACAGTTAAGAGGGTGTGAACAGATGAATCCAAAGACTAGTCATACTTGAGCACAAAATTTCACTATGTAGGTTTTTTTTCAGGGTTCCTGTTTAGGTAGTAAATAAATGTGTGTTTGTTCTTTCTTATGTAATAAAGCAGCTCAAGGCCTCATGCCTTCTTATCTCCAAATCCCTACATTATACTGTATGTATAATTAAAATGAGGGAATATGAAGTCATTTGAGGTCCCAAAGGAATAATCTGAAATGCTGATAATACCGCATCAGCAGTAATCCATGATTATTGTAAGAAAAACAGACCTAGAAAATGGCATGGGTGAGTATCTGGTGGAATTAACCAAAGATGGATTATTTCAACTAGCTTTCATCATGCCCTTTTTTCCTAACCCCATATTTCCTAATCCAAGAAGCAGTTCTTCAATCACTAGTCTGTCACAAAACAGTATAATGAGTACTTTGATACAAGAAAAGCAGATAAAAAATGTTTAACTGGAAGTCATATAAAATGACAAAGACTTGGGGTATGTAAACATGGCAAATTCAAGAGCTCTGAATGAGCTAGCTTGGGCGAGGAAGAACAATACAGCTGCATGCATGCAATGCTTGACTAGTCCTGTCTGAAGCAGTTGTAGTTGTTACTGCCCTGCGCTTTAAGAGCCTGGTGCTT